AAAAAGTCCTGTAAGTGGAGTAGCTGGGCCAATGGTCATGCACATTTAAAAATTTGCTGGTTAAAATAGCTAAAACTTATACTTAATATATACCAAAAACTCTTGTTCTTCTAAAATTGCTCTCAATAGAAATTGGACTAATGCTCCATAGCAGTGAATGTTTTGTAGTTCCTGTTTCCTCATCTCAGCAACTTAATAGTTCTCAAACTTAGTCTTTGTTAATTCTGATATATATATATAAATTGTTTTTCCTATTAGGAGTTTAATTATTTTTTATGTTTTAAGAGCCATTTGTGTTCTTTCCTATGGTCTTTTCTCATTGGTCTGTTTATTAATAGTTCATGTACATTAAGGAAAATGACCCTTTGTGCTTGTAAATATTTTTCTCTGTCATTTGTCTTTTGACTTTGTTTATGATGCTTTTTTCATACAGAGATTTCTTATTTTTATGTAGGCAAATTTATCAATTCTTTCCCTGATTTTTTTTGGTAGGCCTTCAAAGATTATAAAACTCAAAGACCATAAAAACAATTGTACTTTGGTTTCTTTTTTTAAAAAATTTAATTAAATCTTTGATCCTTCTGGAATTTATTTTGGTGCAGACTAAGGTGGGGGCTCAAATTTCTTTCCTAGTATCAGTCTTTCCTAGTATCAGTCACTACTTTTGTTTTTTTCATCTTTAAAAGCAGGGATGGGTTAGAAGATCCGAAGGTCCCTTAGGTAGCAAAGCACTCACTGTAAACTTGGCCAATAGATGGTAAGTATTTAGCCTTTTCACAGCATCATTTACTTTAAACAATAAATCATAAGCTTGTCTGAGAATAGTACAACATCTTAAACCTGACTTTTAATTACTATATATATCACTAAAAATGTTTTGCAAGGCAGTAGTGATTTTATTTCTTGGAGAATAGCAAGAAGAAAGCTAGAGGGGTTATTAGCCATTTCATAAGATTTAGTCATTTAAAAATGGAACTTCATACCCTTCTAGGATTAAGCATTTGGGGATTAGTTCTTCATTAGATTCTTATTAAGAGACTACTGACATTTTTAGGATATTTATTGACATCGGGAAATGCAAAGACATAGAGACTAGACAGGGAAAAGGGCTGGATGTGGTAAAGTGAAGGAGCATATAGGAAAATAAGCTCCCTAGGAGTTTGAGGCTGCAGTGAGCTATGATGACACCACTGCACTCTAGCCTGGGTGACGGCAAGATCCTATTCCAAAAAAAAAATGAGGGCAGTGAAATTTGTTTTTGTATATTGTTATACCCCTAGTGCCAAAAACATAGTGTTCTGTGTATATTGATAAGCATACTAATGCTCAGGATAAAAGGAACAGCCACTATGTAGCTTAGTCCTGTTGCTTGATGGAAGTATAGGTACAGGATTCTTAGATCTCCCAAATTTTCAAGTGAAAACAAATCTATGTTTAAAAAATTGTGAAATCTGAATTTTAAATACAGCACTGGCAGTGAATTCAAAATTTCGGGTCAAAGAACAAATGTTTATAGTAAAGATTCTACCCAAATGTCATCAGTATGTCACTTCTATATAAATTGTGTAGGTAAATAAAAGATTATTAATAGTAAGTTTACTTGAGTCAGACCTGTTGGCAAAGTTTATGTATACCTTACAGCTAAGCATTGTTTTTATAGTTAAGAAACCCTTCTTGCCCTGATAGGGAATTCAGCTTTTTATCCTGCAGTAAAGGTAAATATAGACAGGTTTCTTTATTTTCTTCTTCATGTCAGATGCATTACGTGCCAATGTCTCAACAAGGATTGAGGGAGGCACATCTCACACATGTGCATGAAAACCCAATCATCATTCTTATAAACTACAAAAAGATCTAGACAGATGTTTCAGTGGAACTTCATTGTGGTCCTGGGCCTTTATTCTTCAGGACTTAACAGTGCAGACTTCTTTTAATGAGCCTCATCCTAGGTATTACTACCTCTATAGAGTAGTGACTTAGGAGCACAACTAGACTGTCACATTAAAAGGAAAGAAAAATAACTTTTAAGCAGTATGTAGCATTACATTTAGGAATTGGAAATGGCCTTCATATCATTTAGTCCAGTCTCCTTTCTTGGAAGAAATGGCAACCAACTTGGACATTGTCCTAGGGCAGGTAAAAGATAGTAAAACAATTCATTCTCATTTATATAATTCTTTAGTTCACATTTTTCAAAAAATTTACATGGTTTATGCAAAAAACAATTGTAAACATACAAAGGGAAAAAACAAGGTTATGAAAAATTAAAAATGAGGTGGTGAATCAGTTGTAATAGGGCTCTGTTTTTCTTACTGGTTTGGTTATACCAGACAATTTATAACTGCTATTTCCTCATCTGTAAAATTTGAAATTTTTTTGAGGATTAAATGAGGTAATACATTTAAGACACTTATCCTGGTGGCAAGAAATAGTAAATGCTCAATAAATATTAGCTAAAAGCATATACATTCCAAGGTATATGGGTTAATATAGATGCTGATAGAGTATCAGATTCAGTTTTGAGATTCTTGACAGTCTAGGTGGAGAAGAAAATTAAGTTATATGGAAAACACATGTTGTTTAGGAGAGTTTTTCCTAGCACCAAATACAAATTCATTGCACAGGGTTCTAGGTATATTGAGTACTGGAGTTGGATTATCTTTCACCCCAATACTGAATTTGTGAATTTGGACAAGTTATTTAACCTCTCATGTATAAAAGTGCAACTTGATGTATATTTACTTTTAGTTGCTTTTGATATTTAGAAAAGGTTCTGAATGAAGTTTTTGTGAATTGTCTTTTCACTCAACCCTATATTACTGAAACTTGTTTATAACTAGTTCATTCATATTCACCATGTGATTATATCACAATTCATCCATTCTCCTGTTGGTGGGCATTTAGGTTGTTTCCAGGGTTTTTGCTATTGCAAATGGTTGTGCTATAAAAAATTGCTGTATAGATCTGGTACCCAACCACACTCCCCTCCAGTAACCTGCCTTGTAAATTCCAGCTGTTTTAGCAGCCCCAAACTCCCACTGTGTCTCCTCAGCTCAGTGATACCACCACTCTGAGCTCCACTCCTTGTATCATGGTTAGGAACGTTTTCCCCCAAAAAACAGACATGGTGAACCTGAGGTTTACCCCGTGTATTTCCATTTTAAATATAAGTCTGCTTTGACTGTTACCCAATTCCTGAAAGCAGTTGCTTCATATATTTTGTCATTTTATAGTTTAGGATAGGATAAGTCCAATACCAATTACTATGTCATAGCCAGAAGTAGAAGTCTATTCATCTCTATTTTTTACTAGAAGTTTTAGTTTTTTGGGGGCTTTTAATCCTTAATACAGCTGGAGTTTATTTGCTCCAAGAGAAATTTAGACATATTTAAAGGATGCACTGTCTGAGATAGTCTTCATGATGCACTTAGTTCTATCCGAGGATTAAACTGAAAACTACATTCTATACATGCTATGTGATTGGCATGAGGTAGAGATAATTTTTTCCCTTAAGGTAATCATTTCACCCCCAGTTTCTTTAACTTCTGGTATTCATTTCTTGACTTCTAAAGGTGGTGGGGTTATGATATCTGATATATGAAACACATGCACACACCCATAGTCTTTATAGAGGTCTGCAACATAGCTTTCTTACTCCTCTGATTAAAGACAGATTTTAAGACTTTGAAACTTGAATAATAGTTAACATTTATATTACCTTGACTATGTGCCAGGAACTATTCTAAGCACTTTAGATATAACTTTTTAAATCCTAATGACAATCCTATAAAATAGGCACTATTATTTCCCCCATTTTACAAATGAGGAAACTGAGGTATAAGAGGTTAAATAACTCATATCCAAGGTCATACAGGTAAGTTGTAGTGGAACAGGGATTTGAATACAGACTTCTGAGTCCACCATACTGTATATACTACCATTCAGATGAGCAGATTTTAATATTCTATGAAATTAAGGAGCCCTCTGTCTACCTCTGCTCAGATGTAGGCCTCAGGCCCAATTCATTCAGAAAACAAATCTACCAGTGCTCAATTATGAGCATTTTATAACCTTAAAAATCAGAATTACAAAGCAATTGTTGGATCCAATTTAGAGAAAGTCCTTTTAATTGCAAATTCCAGGTATAGTAGTCCCTAAAAACAATACTCTTTTGTCCAAGTTCTTACAACAGATTGTTTCTAATGAATAATACACATTTTCACAGTGCTCAATACTTTTTGGTGGCTTTCACATGGAATAATTTGCATATACCTAAACTATTGGCCTACTTGATATCTAGCTCTGTTCTGGTTGGGTACCTGCCATGTTTTCCATTGAATTATATATGGAGTGTTTTTTTTTTTTTTTTCAATTACAGTAAGTCCAGAAATTAAATATATTCTTAAGAAATAAGTGAGCCCCTATTTAGTCTGGTGCTGTCACTTTTTCAAATTTCTTATCCTACCTCTACAGCACTTAAGAATTGGGAGACTTGACACTAAGTCAATTGACACAAATCAACACAGCCACTTACTTGAATCTGTTAGCAGTCATGTTCTTCTCTTGCCATGTGTTTTGTACTATAGGTCCCGTGGACTATTTCTAATTTTATTTCTCTTCTTTCTACTCAGTTATTCTGTTAGGTTGTAAAGAATTTTGATTTAAAGACATTTTTGCTTCCAGTAGGAAATTGTATAATACACTGCTAAGAAAGATATATGTTGCTGGGGTTGTTTTTTATAATTGGATAGGTGACTTTAAAAAATTGCTATACACTGGCAAACAGGTAAAAATAAACTGTTTCCTTCCTACAGATATGTAAGATCTGAGTATTCTAAGCATGTGTAACAGAATTCTAACACTCAAGCACATATATACTCACTATGGTTTATAATATTTTAGCTATTAAGTGTATCTTGTAAATAATAAAATAAAGTAATTCTTTCAAATATGCAGTGTTTAGATTTAGAAACAATTACAAGTAATGAAAAAACTAATGGATTAAAATACAATATTTTATTTTTTCTCACCTAAAAAACAAGCAACCCAGAATTAAGATATACATAAGCTTCTCAAATTTACCCTAATAAAATTTTGAATATTTATACAATTTCTACAGAAACATACAGTGTATCAAAATCTGCATAAATCAAATTTATAAAATGTGTAGAAATGCATAGTGATATTATCAACTTACAAAGCAAGGATATGGGAATTATTTCCAAAGCAGCCTACCGTAGAAAATAGTCATTATGGCAGCAGCTTCTGATGTTTTTGTTTGGTAAGGTTTCTGATTTCAATATATAGAATCATATTCATAGAGTATCTTAATGAATTGCACAAAATACCCATTTACAATTTACATGCACAGTTCATTGCCACCTTTCTTAGGCCTATGCATAGTTAACAAGGTTATAATCTACTCAACTTGGAAAATGGAGCCTACTTGCAAACACACAAGTATCAATTCTCTCAGTTTCTTTTTTATGGTTGATTTATTTTACAATTACATAAGCATATAAATGTATTCCTTTTAAACATCCTTACAGATGAAAGTTAAAATGGTTGATCACAGATCAGTAGCAAAATACAAATTGACAATTCAAAATTATAAATAAAACTCTGTTGAGGATGTTTAACTTTGACTCTCCAAATTTAAGAGCTAAGCTTGGAAGAAACAAATTGTAGGCTTTTCTTTTAAACAAATGTAAGTTTTTTCTTTTCTTTTTTAAGCTTTAAGTAAAAATATTTCCCTCTTAAATTAAAAAAAATATATATTTCCCTCTGGCAGTAGTTTGTGAATTCCTTTCATTGTAATGACATCATGATTACAAGATCAATAATGCTTAATTTACTTGCCATTCCCTACCATATCACATTGTTTTATTTAGCACTAAATTCAGGCATTTTAATCTTTTGGGTGATAAAAAATTACTTATTTAGAAATTAAAATCTAATTGGCCATTTGTAATATTTGGTTCTCCTATAGTAGGTACTATCTTAATAAATGTTTATTTAAATCCAAATAAATCTTTTCACTGGAAAAGTACTAATAAAAAATATGATTCCTAAAAAGAAATTAAGAAACACTAGGGAACTAACACCCAATCTAACATTAAGTATTTCAACATTTTTCAATGAACTGTATCCTTAAATAGTCTTTTTTTTTTTTAATTTTAAAAACATGCAGGGAATTTCATTTGGATGAAGATAAAAATGAAACATCAATTCACTCTTGGATTCATAGGTTGCACAGCTTAGGTTATAATGCACAGGAGTTTTATAAGGCTTAATCTAATAAGGGCTTGAAAATTCTTCAGTCAGAATAAACTTTTAACATGTTTATAATGGTGTTTTGTTGTTTTTTGTTACTCCCCTTTCAAGTTGCAAAATTGAGAATTATTTATAGTTTTCTATAGTGACAGGTACTGAAGAAAAGTAAATCCCAAATGTTAGTGGACAGTTTCTCTCTCTAGTTAGAAGATTCCTTTGCAATCCTAGATGTTGGCACAGACAGAGGGCATTGGGAATGCCAGCAGGTAAGGAAGATAATGCCACACAACTTAAAATCCTATGGAATAGCCTTGGGATGTTCCATATTTTTTCTTAAGCTAAACAACATTCAACCTCATAGCAAAGGGCAGCACATAAATTCATTTCTGAGTAGTAAAAGTATTCCCCATACAGGTGACAATTCCATCATTACCATCCTACAAATTTCATCAAAAGCTCTTGAAATATATACTGAGAAATGAAAGAGGCACTAAATGTGTTGAAATTCACCTTTCAAAAAAGCAGCATGACTGTGAAGGAAGGCCACCTTGGCTAATAACCTGTGGCAGTGCTTTAAAAAGATGTAAAATTAAATAAAGACACGACAGGTTGATAATTACCAAGTCATATATGAAAGTCTGGTTACTCCAACCTTTTTTCAAGTGTGTTTAAAAAAAAAAAAAAAAAAAAATCAAACTGCCTTTCAGACCCTGAGTGTGATCCCAAAGAAGACAACATGCTTTTAACTCTATTCTAATAAAACAGAGCTAAAGGCACAAATTACCGACATCATCTAAAAACAAAACAAAACAAAAAAGATGTAAACATCTACAAAGTTTAAGGTAAAAGCAGTTTTGTAAACAGTAACTGCAGATGATAATGTCATTGTAAAATCACAGTTTATCAATGTCCTTCAAACTGATCAGGAGGTTCCGGGTTTGGAGCTGTACAGAGTTAATAATAATAGTTGCAGCAGATTTCAGGCGGTTTTCAGTCCTGTATAAATTTACTTGTCAGCAGGTAGGTTATTGGTTTCTTTTATTCTTTCTAGACACTATGAATATTATTCATTTCCCACTTTTGAGTCTTTTTATTGGAGTCACAATTGGAGATGAATACTTGATGTAGGACCTCTGAGCGATCTAAGCACTTTCCTGAAGGAATGTGAGTAAATCTGTGCAGGTTCTGGAAAACAGTAAGGAAAAAGATGTTTTAAAATTCGGACTCTTTTGATATCACTGACGTTAAAAGAAGTCATTACCTGACTTTCCAAAGAAGATAATTCAAGCAAATGGACAAGCTTATACCAACCATACCTCAGACTTTGCATTTCTCTTGAGTGTCAGTCTTCTAAGTCCTAAGTTACTTTATTAAGTCACCATATACTGTTGGTACCTCAAATTCAACGTATACAAACTTAAATTCATTATCTTCCCCTCCAAACATACTTCTCCGGTTCCTATCTTGGCTAATAACAATACCAGTTTTCCAGTCCTCAGGAAATATTGTACTTTCCCTCATTCGCTGATATTACAGCAGCCACTGAAGAATATCTGCAACGTCTCTGGTTTATACCCCTTCTTATCCCCACTGCAGATGCCCTGGGTTAGCTCTCAACATATGTTGTAGGTTTCTTCAGTGTAGCTCAGGGCTTCTCAAAGTGTGGTCCTCAGACTATCCAGATTGAGTCTGTAAGGCCGAAACTATTTTCATAAAAATACAAAGACCGCATTTGCCCTTTTTACTATTTTGACATTCATACTGATGGTGCAAAAGCAATGGTAAGGAAAACTGTTGGGACCTTAGCACGAATCAAGCAGTGACACCAAACTATGCTAGTACCTACAGCTGGATTCTTCACTGCCACACACAGTTAAAAAGGAAAATGCCAGTTTCACTTAAGGATGTCCTTGATGAAGTAGCAACACTTATTAATTTTACTAAATCTTGACCTTTGAGTATACTTGTTTTTTTTTGAGACAGAGTCTCACTTTGTTGCCCAGGCTAGAGTGAGTGCTGTGGCATCAGCCTAGCTCACAGCAACCTCACACTCCTGGGCTCAAGCGATCCTCCTGCCTCAGCCTCCCGAGTAGCTGGGACTACAGGCATGTGCCACCATGCCTGGCTAAGTTTTTCTATATATGTTAGTTGGCCAATTAATTTCTTTCTATTTATAGTAGAGACGGGGTCTCGCTCTTGCTCAGGCTGGTTCTGAACTCCTGACCTCGAGCAATCCACCCGCCTCGGCCTCCCAGAATGCTAGGATTACAGGTGTGAGCCACTGCGCCCTGCCAAGTATACTTTTTAAAATATTCTATGAGGTAGAATGGGAAATATATATAAAGGACTTCCATATAATGAAGTGCAATGCTATCTTGAGGATACCCATTCTACATTGCTACCACTTACTGAGTTGTGCAGAACCAAAGAAGAATCGCCATAATGATCTGAAAAGGCTATTACATTACCCCTTTCTTTTCCAACTATGTATTTGAGTGAGGCTGGATTTTCTCATATGCATCAACTAAAACAACATACTGCATCAGAATGAAGGCAGAAACAGTATGAGCATCCAGCTGTCTTCTATATTAAACCAGACGTTAAAAAGATTTGCAAAAATATAGAATAATGCCATTCTTCTCACTATTTTTATGGAAAAATATTATTTTTCATTAAAAATGTGATTTAGATTAAAATGTGACAGGGTTGTTATTGTTACTTTTACATGAATTAATATATAAAAGCTTAACAAATTTCTCAGATTTAGTTTCTAATTCTGGAAATACTGTTAGTGATAACCTATATAAACAAAAGCTGTTTGGGCAAGTTTCATTAATTTTTAAGAGTATAAAGGGAATCCACAGGCCAGAAAGTATGAAAACGGCTGCTTAAGCTGATCTCCTGGCTTCATCAGTCTATACTTTACATGTTTTCAGAATTGTTTTCCTAAAAGCACCCATTGTTTAAGATCACTACCTTCCTCAAATAATGTCAATAGCTCTCCAAAACTTATAAAATGAAGTTCAATTTTTTTCGTATGGAACACAATTCAGGGATACCAGGCTAAATGTAGTTCTTAGAATTTCCTATGCATTTTGATGCCATGCCTTTGTTCATCTAGTTTTCTTATCTATCGTCCAAAGAAAGCTTTTTTATATTTCAGGACCTAGTGCAATGAAATCATTCCCACTATTAATCTCTTTTTTGCTGTCCTATGGCATCCTGTTTATTTTTATTTCTGCATCTTTTTCCTCTCTGCCATTGTACTACAGTGTACTTGAATCTATTTTTTGAAACCCCACAGTCCACCCCATCACTGGGCTTCAGTGCATATTTTAGGAATGTTTAATACATAAATGTATATTCAGTGCTATGTTCTTTAAAATATCTAAAACATGTTCTTTCCATTTTTTACCCAGTACTACTACTACTACTTCTTTTTTTTTTTTTTTTAAAGACTGGGTCTTGCTGGGCTCAAGTGGCCCTCCTGCCTCAGCCCTCCCGAGTAGCTGGGATTATGGAAATGTGCCACCATGCCCAACTTTTATCCATTAGTTTCTGGTCTGCGAACCTTCTTTTACTAATTTACTAATATTTTTATCACTGACCCCTACATTTATTGCTATTATTCGTTATTCTTTGTGAAAATAAATGTTCTGTTCTTTAGGGTTTATTATTAATCTTCTCCTTCCTAACTTGTTATAGGAAAAAAAAAATCAGCAATTGATAACATGCTTACCACTTCATGGTAATTATCCAGGAGTGATGACAGCAGGGAATATTAAGCTGGGTCGTAACAGTACTTCAAAGCAAACAAGTGCTTGCATGACAGATGGGAAATGGTATCAAATACTAGGTGAGTAAATAAAATTGAGAGTTGCCACGTTCTTTCTATTTGAGGCAGCTTTCCCAACTTATTGTTTGGTTTATTTTAGCCAAATTTAGACTTTGAAAACTATATACAAATCCACTGTACTCCTCAACTTGCCACAGAGCTGTAAATACAGCTGAAACAGAGAAACAGTCCCAGCATGGTCAAGTGAGTAACTAAATTTGACCTTTAAAGCAAGAAACTGGCTACATTTATCCTGTTGTATTTAGCAGCCGACAATGATAAAGCAGTTATGAAAGTCTTCCTTTCCAAGTTTTATTAGTTTGTCTCTATCTCCACCTGCTGGACGACAAGAAATACTAACCCAATATATTTAACTTTAATGAATGATTCACTTAAATTTTAAAAATAAGATTTTGATACAAGAGCGATGGGGATGACTGCCTCACAGAACACCAATTTTCCCGTGTTACTGAAATTGCAGTGGGTCTTCACAGACACCTTTGTGACCTCATTGCATGACGATATTGTGCCACAGAACAAAAGTGAGGCTTCATTATGGAACAGTCATCCAGTGCTCAGAAAGACCTATACAAATGACTAAATGAAAGAAAAAAAATGCAAGTCAATTTGAATGCAAGTTTTAAGATTTACTCTTCTAAATTCTATATGCCAGGTGTTACTGAAAATGAAATAGCATGCAATATTATTTAAGGGGTTAGAATGCAGAATACCTTGAAGTACTGCCATTCCTTAAATCCATTTAGATTACAGTGCGTGATCATAACTTTTGATCCATCAGTCTCCTTTGTCAAACACTGGTCATACTGCATGAGTTGATTTGCTTCATTGATTCTGAAAAGCTATATAAAAAAAGGAGGGTGGGAAGAAGTGAGGAAGTTAGTTAACTGCTATAATTAAACTGGATGACTAACTTACAATTTTTCTGTGTGGAACTATAGGTCTACAGACAGGACTTATATTTATTTGGATGTTAATGAAGACTTCTATTAAACGATTATGTTCTTTAGCCTCTAAGATCCAGAATGGGTCATTAACACATATTTTTATGTACCAACAAGGTGAGAAAAGGAAAAGCAGAAACAGACTTGATAATGTTTCACAATCTAAACAGATCTGAGAATATTTCATAATCTAAACAACATGTGCAAAAATTATTATCAGGGAACTAGGCTTAATAGTTTTATGGTAGTGAGAAATATATACTCCTACCAGAATTTCTTATGTTAGGTAGACATCAATTCTAGATTCTGACTGCTTGTGTGAAAACCAATGCTGCTATCATATCACATCATTTAAGTGAATATTTTATTTAACACTGCCAATTTTTCAGAGAATGTTTTACTTTATCAAAACAAACTTACCAAACTGAAAACCAAACTAAACCCTGTGATCAATAAACCTGGCGGCTTTCAACACAGGCCCATTTAAACAGAAAAGTAAGGTGATTTACCTGATTCCCTCCCATCCTGTGGCAGGGTCCTAGTTCAACAAAGCCTCCATTTGTTTTCCCCATACTATCAATGCAGTAAGCAGTTTCAAAGCCTCTGATCTGAAAAAAGGAAAAAAAAAAAAAAAAAGAACAAAGAAGCAAAAAAGAAGGCAACAGTCTAATATTTAATAAACTCTAGCATAAGAGTAGAAGTTTCCTGTTAAAAACTGCAGTTCACAGGGAAAATCTGGGTATGTACAGTGCCAGCTTATGACTGTATTGTCAGTCTTTAAGTAGTTTTGAGCATACTTTTTTGAGAAGTTTTTAGCCATCTTTGAAATCGTTTATGGTCTTGAAGTCTCAACATTAGAATCAGCTCATTCCAACTGAGGGCACCGGCCTATAGATTTCCATAAACTACCAACAGAAGAAAAAATAGAATGATACAATTTCAGAATCTTGATGATTCATGTGAATGAGAAGTGAATAAAATAAAGCTGCCCAATCAGAGTAATAACTGGCCCTGGCTCTAGCTGTCGAGGGCAGGGAAGTGGCAGGTGCTAAAGGAGGGAGGGGACGTGCCCGAGGCCAGAAAGCCACCTGTGCAAAGGCTGGGCAGGCAGCTGTGGTTGTCTAGTGGGGGGCGGTGGGTGCCACGAGACGGGTTTGACCCAAACATTTCCCCCAGAATTCTCTTTGGCTCGCACATTTCCACCTCTCTCTGCCTTCTCCCAGACTCTGAACACTTTTGAGATGTGAATGTCCACCGCTGCCGGTACTTACTTCTCCCCAGTCAACATTTTTGGGTGGCAGAGGGTAGTGTAAGGGGATATCATAAGCTATTTCTTCCATGAACCACTTGAAACTTTTGCAGTTGTGATCTTCTCGAAATTTTTTCAGCTCCGATATATCCCCGTATGGCAGTGCCTTTGATTCAGGACGACTGGCGTAGAAGTAGTCTTTGTATTCATCCCACCAGACCTCGACAACCCTAACATAATTCTGTGAAAAAGGAAATTAATAGCATTAGGATAAGTATGGATAAATGTAACGCCACAAACAGCCTATGTTAGACACATGAAATATGAGCAACATATAACAGACTCATTGCAACAGGAGCTGGCCTTTTAATTAAACAACAAATGCAAGTGAGCTAATGACTCGAATATGTTATCTGCCAAGGAGAAAAATGTCACGCGCGCTCAACTAAACAGTGGTGAACACACAATCTGATGTTTCTGAACTGGAAGATCATATATTCTAAGGTAGTATATTCAATTCTGCTAATAGAAGAAGAAATCGAAGCCCAGGGAGGGTTTATAAGAGCCTGACTGGACACTGGTGCTGCTTCTCCTAGAACAATCTCTTTTTATTTGTAATTTTATTTACATTATTTTTTCTTTATTTTTTTTCTTCTTCACATATCCTTGGTAAACAATCTCTTTCTATTAGAACCACACTACTGGTGTGTTTAGGGGGAAACAACCTAATTTCTGAAACCATGAAAAATAATAGCTCTGTTTAATAAAAAACATTTTTTGACTGTATTGATCTTGTTACAAATATGTGTGTGTGTGTGTGATTACACAGACGTATACTTGCTATAGTTGGGATGTAGCTTGTCCTGACCAAAATCATGTTAAAATTTGATCCCCAATGTGGCAGTCTTGGCAGTTGGGCCTGGCGGGAGGTTTTTGGGACATGGGGGCAGATCCCTCGTGAACGGATTAGCGCCCTCCTGTGGGGATGAGGAGGTGAGTTCTTCCTCCCACGGAAATGGATTCATTCCCATGAGAGTGGGTTGTTAAAAAGAGTCCGGGTTCCTTGATTTCTCTCCCTTGCTTCCTCTCTTGCCATGTGATCTCCAGCACATACTCGCTCCCCTTCTACTTTCTACCAAGAGTTGCCGCAGCCTGACGCCCTCACCAGGTGGAGCTGCCCAATCTTGAACTTTCCAGCCAGCAGAAGTGTGAGCCAGCGAAGCCTCTTTTCTTTATAAATCAGCTAGCCTCAGGTGTTCTGCTGCAGCAACACCAAATGGACTAAAACAACACTCAGCCCAGTCCCTCGGTCTTCTACATCACGCATCAGCGCATTTTCTCTATAAAGGGCCGGAGCGTAAGCATCTTTGGCTTCCTGGGCCATACAGTCTCCGTGGCAGCTATGCAGCTCCACTGGCGCAGTGAGAAGGCAGCTACAGACAATATGCAAACACGTGAGTGTGGCCATGCTCCAATGCAATTTTTTTTTTTTTTACCAAAAAGGGCTGGATTTGGCCTGTTGGCCACAGTTCCTGACCCCTGTTTTACATATGGAGCAGGAATATCTAGCATTCAGATTAAGCTTTTTCTAGGCTACAAGATGTTCATCAAAGGATGAACATGCCCTCAGGTGGATACTGTTGCAAAAGCCCCAGGGCTTAAATAAAAGTTTCTTTTAAGTAGCAGTGTCCCCAAAGGACACATGATATTACTGCTAAGGATTCTGAATCCTTGCAAATCCATACAAAATTAGCCACAGGCCATGTCCTGCAGACACTAACAAACCTGAGGAGTCCTGTGCACACACACGAAAGGAAGGAGCAAGGAGCTGTTTGGGATGGCGAGGGCCGGCGTGGCACTGTGTTGCCCAATATCGAGGCAGTGGTAAATGAGGTGGGAATGGTATTCAGGGGGAAAAGAGAAAAGCAAATTAAGTACGGCAAATCATAGTGCGATTGGAGTCATTATAAACAGGCAGTTTATAATGACTGGAATGCAGGATTTACTGAGAGAAAACTTGCCTCTGTTTCTTCATTTTAAGATGAGAATAATTATAGCCCCTACTACTGCATAGTGTGTTGTGAAAGTTAAGGAGTTAATCTGCATACAGCATTTAGATCTGTGCCTGTTACACACTAAGCACTCGATCAGTGTTAGCTATTATTTATTTATTTATTTTTTGAGACAGAGTCTCGCTTTGTTGCCCAGGCTAGAGTGAGTGCCGTGGCGTCAGCCTAGCTCACAGCAACCTCAAACTCCTGGGCTCAAGCGATCCTCCTGCCTCAGCCTCCCGAGTAGCTGGGACTACAGGCATGCGCCACCATGCCCAGCTAATTTTTTCTCTCTCTATATATATTAGTTGGCCAATTAAAAATTTCTTTCTATTTGTACTAGAGACGGGGGTCTCGCTCTTGCTCAGGCTGGTTTCGAACTCCTGATCTCAAGCAATCCGCCCGCCTCAGCCTCCCAGAGTGCCAGGATCACAGGCGTGAGCCACCACGCCCGGCCAGTGTTAGCTATTATTGATATTATTTAAAGAACTGTGAATTGTATTCTTGAGGTAACAGCCATGAAGACGTTTTAAGCAAGTCATCAGTCATTTAAGACATCAGATTTAACGTGCAGGTGAGTGACACCGGTGGTGTGTGGAGGGTGGGCTGACGGCGCAGAGCCAGGGGGAGCTACCCAGTGCGCTAGGGAGAGAACAGCACGGAAGAAAGAGCCACTGTGAGGGCTTGGTGCACGGGAACAGCTCTAGCATGCCCCCTAACGCTTCATTCCTGGGCAAACACAAAATACAGGGAAAGGAATCACTTTTGAGGAAAAGTTAAAAGTTCGACTTTGACTGTGTTGAGTGAAACACTGAGGGGCATCCAAGAGGATAATTCTAGAAGGCAACTGGTATAAAGGCCTGGGGCTGAGCGGAGACATATGGGCTGGATAAACAGACCCGGCCCCTGGCACCCAGGTGGCTCAAGCGGATGGTGTTGAACTGGAGGAGAGAAAACACCTGGCACGTGGTTAGGTACTCATTAGGCGCATGCTAAATTTCACGTCTACTGAGATGTTTTTACGATAGCTACAGTTAATTTTTAGAGTGGATAAATACTTCCCTCTCAGCTCTTTTCCTTTTCTCTGCAGGACAGAACTTGAATCAAGCTGGCTGTTCATCGGTTCTTTGTGGCCGTGGGTCCAACTCCAGGGGGAGTTCCCTGCGATGTCAGTCACGCCTGACGTTGGCACGGCGCTACCTTTGTCTCATCACAGACACTCATACCTCATCCCCTGCTGTGGCTGGGCCTCCACTCGGCCAATTGGAAAGATGTGTTGGTTCATAAAGCCTCCCCCGTCTCTGCTTCCCTCATCCATTTCCCTTTCGTGAACTCCCCTAAGTCGCATCTGCAGCCAATAATAAACTGCCTTCTGCCGTTAAGGGCTCCAGAAAACGAGGGGCGTTACAGTCACACGCCTCTTAGAGTTTATGAAAGCTGCCCAACCGAAGGAACTTCCAAGTTGCTTTGCCAGGGACAGAGGCCTTCGTCTTCCAAGGAGTGGGACATGTCTGGCCTTCTGCGTGAGGCTTCCTTGGTTTGTTCCAGAAATAAATGCCAGCCCCGAGAGTGACTAGTCTGTGAAGAAATGCTGACGAACCGGGTGACCCCGCCACGCTGGACCACCCAGGTCAGTGTTGGCTACCACACTGCTTCCAACGCTGCCCTCCCAGGCCAGACGCGACTGCTCCGCTGGGACGAGGGGGCTGTGACACGTTTTGTTTCGGGAACCAGGAAGAGAGAACCACAATGCAGAGAATGGTGGGAATCAACAGAAGGAACTAGAATCATGATTTATTTTCTAATAGTAGTTAGTGGGAAAAGCAGCCTGGGAGGATGCCCATCCCACTGAAGTAGTCCTGTGCAGTTTTAAGTTAAACATGCATTTTATGTATAAGTAGAATTTTTTTTTAATTTTAAAAATGTCTTTAAAACTAACATTTTCGTCTATAGGTGCATGATTGTTGATAAAATACAGATTATCCATCCTAGTTCTACATCTATGGTGTAGGTTGGAGATAAGATTTTGATTAAATAATCATGGTGAAATAGTCATTAAAATAAAACAATTTGGATGTCCCAATGAAAAGTGTCATAGTGGAATTTTCCTCTATTTTATGTGTGAGAGAAGGACAATTTGAAGACAATGCAATAAAATAAAGGATACTTACATTAATTTATAAATCTTTGAGGGGCAAGAGATGTTAATCTTTTATAAACACTATTCAAAAATTTGATTTTGTTTACAACACAAACTCCTACTATGATTACCTTAATTTTTAAAAACCAAACAAAAATAGCATTTTACTCATGTGTGAAAAACAGAAGCTGGTATTTTCCTTTTAACTACTTCCCAACACACATATCAGTCCTTTCTGAATTTATTCGAGATATATTCATGAAGAACATTCAATATAGAAAACTTAGTGAGAATGGGGTGCAATGGGAGGTGAGGTCCCCAAGAGAGCAGAGTAGGAGACACCAGCCTTCGTTTCCCTCAACAGAGAACCCCAACTACAGTCAGCTCTTCACAAACCAAAATAGCCCAGAGAGAGCTGCAGGGCCCATTAAAGAATCTGCAGCAACAAAGTGGAGCGAAAGAGGCATCCACACAGGAAGGGTGGCTGCTGAGATCTGCATGCCGGAGACACCAGGTCACGGCTAGGAATGGACAGGAAAGGCAGACGCCAACGCTATCAGCCACACAGGGGGAATCACCGTGGTCTCCAGAGGTCGCCCCACAGAGAACATCGGGATCTCTTGCCACTGGAGTAGACGGCAGCCCTTCTCCTGTGGGACCCTAGCTAGGGGGAGGCAGCCGGTCGGACACCCCTGTGCCACCCAAGAGGCAGGTGCTCTTGAGCCGATTTAGGAAAGGATCTGCCACGTCTCCCACACCCCAGCGAGTCCTGACCCTGCTCTGCTAGTGCCACACTGCAGACCTGGGCTCGGTGGCTGCAGTGGGCCCGCCCACATCTCAGACGCTGGAGCCATCACCGTGGCGAGCTAGTTTGCAGGCTGGGCCCCAGAGTCAAGCCCTCACTGCACATGCCCCAGCTCTAGGCACCGGCTCAGCCATCAAAGAGAGCTAGGGCCTGGCCCAACCTAGCAGCTGCTGTCATCTACACACATGTGTGCTCCCACCATGCTACTTTACAAGCATCTGAGCCTTTAAAACTGCCAACAATGT